TCAGCAATTTCTTTGTAAAAAACCAAAATTTATCTAAAAGAATTTTATACATTTTTTCGTACATGTAGAGTAGTAAAAATCCTAAGCAGTTGATTAAAATATGTATTTAGTCATTAATTTAGTAGGTAAAAACGTTTTTATCAGTATGGAGTTGTGGAGATAGTTAAATTTTTGATTGAGATCATGAATCAGTTGATGCTAGACCATAATTGAAAACGTGGAAGCATTGGAAGGTCTTTTCCTCCTATTGTGGGACTCCTCAGCGGCTCGCGTCCACGATCCTGCTCACAGGATTCGAATCCAGGACATTTGGTCTTGCGCGCGAACACCTAACCTTTAGACCTCTGAGCCAGCATTTAACAGTGTTAATGGAAGATGGTCGCAAAATTTCGTGAATTAGTTGAGGTTAGACATTAAAACCGTTAGATACTGGCTCAGTAGTCTGAAGGTTAGGTGTTCGCGCGCAAGACCAAATGTCCCGGATTTGAATCCCGTGAGTGGGATCGTGGACGCGAACCGCTGAGGAGTCCCACAATAGGAGGAAAAGACCTTCCAATGCTTCCACGTTTTCAATTATGGTCTAGCATCAACCGATTCACGATCTCAATCAAAAAGTGTTTTGTTTTTTAAATTTAAAATGTTTATTTTTCTGAATTATATTGACAATTTCTACAACTTTCATCTTTATACTCTGGACAAGTTGATTTTGAAGTTAGTTACATATGATTACAGGATATTTAGTAAAATATAATTAATCATTTTTATTGGTTAAAACGTTTTCACATTAGACGTTATTGATCTGATGATTATGACTTGATATAAAGAATTGAGTTTAAAGTTTATTATAATTTTGGTCATTAACTATTTAAATGATAGATGACTAGTATATATCATGGTTTAAGGTGATAAATTGTTAAACTATGTACATGACTGAAGTTTGAACACGTTAAAAATAATTATCAGACGTTGATCACTGGATAGACGGTACATTTTGAAGGAATAACTTTAAAATACAAAATGAACTTGAGTACTCAAGAATGGATTTTCTGAAAAATCAAAAAAAGTGATATTAAATACTACCCGTTTTCTACCTAGATTATACACAATACTATTTATATGTCATTTCTATGTATCTGGGAATTTTTATTTTGTTTTATGAATGCACGATGCTTGTTTAATAATTTAAAACTTGTTCGTTTATTCTCGATATAAGATCCAGAATAGTTCTATTAACTAATTCACTATTTCAGTATAACTTTATCAATAGACTAACATCAACTGAAAAACAAAATACTGTTATAAAAGAAGTAAGCATTGAACAGATAGTACTTTTAATATTAGTCAGTAATGAAAATAATCTAAGAAAAAAGAAACAACACTCAAATACTCAGATTCTTATAAACGAATTCTGTTTTGAGATGGTGGAGAAGATTTGCAGCTCAGGTGGATGATTTTGGTGGAGTTTTGTTCTCTGAACTGGATGGTTTGGTCGTGGAGATTTCATCGTTCTTCTGAACGACATCATCAGCACAAACTTCAGATAGAAGCGAAGTGTTCAAATTTCTCCATATGTGTTTCACAGGTCGTTCTGTGCACCTCGATGTTGATTGGTTCTTATTGACCTTAAATTTGTCATTGTTTACTTCTTTGTTTTGATTGTGTCTCGAGGTGCACAGAACAATCTGTGAAACACATATGGAGAAATTCGAACACTTCACTTCTATCTGAAGTTTGTGCTGATGATGTCGTTCAGAAGAACGATGAAAGCTCCACGACCAAACCACCCAGCTCAGAGAACAAAACTCCACCAGAATTCTGTTTTGTTTTACAATATTCAATAAATAAAAATGAGTAACCCATACATTGTGTAATAGTTATCTTAATCATGACAAATAACTACTATTGAGAATAACCTCACAAATTTTAATATTTTCCAAAGTTCAATTATATTAAAATTAAGAATTCTAATTGAATTGTGAATAAAGCGAATCGTTTGATTGATATTAATGTCTATCAACAACTTACCTTATATATGTGGATAAAGTAACAGAAAAGAATGATAGATAATATTCATAGTGATGAGAAAAATAAAACAACAACAAATGAAATAGGAATAATGATAAATAAATTTTGTTTTCTTTTCTGAGTTGATCAGTTTTGTTTATTTAGTTCTTCTGGAAAAAAATAGAATGAGTCAATCAAATCTGTTTATGATTTAACAAGTAGCACTCAAATTTGATAAAATTATCAGTGTGAAGTAAATAGCAATTGATTCATGAATTCAACTATTGAAATTACCACAACCACCAAAAAAAACCATCCTTTTTGATAATAATCATCATAAGCTGACTAGTATTATGATAAAAATGCTAACTACTGACTGGTTTCAAGAGGTTTTTTTAGTTCTAGTGAGAAACCGTAACCATTGGAGTTCAACCGTATTTGTTGTGAGGCAGTAACTCACTGAAGACTATAGTGAACGGTGGAGAAATTTTGTGGATTGGTTGAAGTTAGACTTTAAGACCGTTGGACGCCGGCCCAGTGGTCTGGAGGTTAAGCATTTGGGTGTGAAACCAAGGGGCCTGGGTTCGAGTCCCACGTACGGGATCGTGGATGCGCACCGCTGAAAAGTTCCATATTAGGATGAAATGGTCGTTCAGTGACTTCATGTTTTTCATGGTGGTCTATCTTTAATCGACTCATGAATTCAACTATCAAATAAATAGCAGAATGTAGCTGAACATTTCTCAATAGTAAAAGTTTGCTCAAGGAAGTTGTTGAAGACGTAATTATATATGCTTGCAAAAATTCAGCATCAGGTTAGTTTATCTAATGCACTGTTTATCCATTTAATATTATAATGTCACCTTGTTAATGTATTTTGACATTTATTTGTTTCTATATAAAGTACATTAACAAGTACATATGTTCTAAGATTTATCAAGAAAGTTGGCTTGTTACGTCATCACACTCTTCCACTCTAACATTATCGCATCATTATACTATTTACTCTTTAAAAAAGAATATAAAATTGTTTGTAGAGTAGCATAAGAACTTTACAAATCTGATCAATCTATGTATCAAATTAAAATGTGCATTTTTTGATCAGGTAAAATACAATTGGATCAGTTACAAAAATGGGAAATAACGATTTTAGTGGGTAAATGCACGTCATTAAAAGTAACAAAATTTTTCCAAAATTTTGTTCATTTTCATCATAATCATAAGATATTTCGAATAAGCTCTCCCCCCCCGGCAATAAAACTGAATACTAATGACGGTAATTTAAAGTTTACCATTAACTGAATTTAGATTTGATTATAATTTATAAAAAAATATGTAGACAGTTAGACGTTACTGAGAACGTTTTACGTCATTGTATACTGTTTCAACTTCAAAACAGTCTAATGTATCAAAATTCTTGGAAATATTTATTAAAACAGTGATATGCAATGAGCTCAATATTTCAGTTTCTACGTTGTTGTGTGTTTCTTTTAAAAAAGATCTTGTGACAACAGTGATTAGGATTAAAAATTTGAAAGATTCTTCAGAGAAGTTTAGAGATAAGAGCTAATTCAAAATAATACTGATTGTGTGTGTGTGCGTATTGAATAGAGTTTCGTGAATCACTGGTCAATGTTATTGTTCTATGGACAATAAGAATTATACTCAAAACTTTCCAATAAGTTGTTGATAGATAGAAGGAAGGAAAATTATAAGATTTTACGAATAGGTTGTTAAATGTATATTCATTCAAATAACAATTTATTTTACAATATTTGTAATTAGTTACTAGGTGGAACTTTAGAGTTTAGACCAAAAACTAATATATTCATATGAATCAGTACTATGATTTAGTGATTTTAGTTGTCATAGAACTTATTTCACATCGTATATTTGGAAATATTAATGAGTATAGTTATCAACTATTAAACTTTAAAGTGTGTGAAATTATAAAGATCATCCACTTGGTATTGTTTGTTTGAATCTTCCCATTGATGTTTAGGACTGCAATTGGTCAGTTCCTTATTGTAAAATGTGCATACCGTGCGTATTGCTTCGATATGGCCTTAATTCACAAGCACTATATGCAAAGATGGATAGTGGCTAGCAGTGGAATACAGGACACGCGTTTCGAGTTCGAGCCCCAGAGTGAACATCAACTATGAGGTGCAGGTAAATCCAACTGACAAGCCTCAAATAAAAACGAAACGTGCGTGTTGGATTTCACTGCTAGCCACTATCCATCTATGCATAAAAAAGGTCATCATTCTGTGATTTTATAAGTAAGAGCTTATTTTTAATTCATATATGATCTACAAACTAATATTTAATAAGAAAATAGTGTAATAAAGATAGTAATCACAACTATGTTTACATATTTATACATATTTGAGAAGCATTGAGTTTGAGATGCCCTGGTTTTGTTACGATCATGATATCTTTATTCTGTTTATGACGTACGGTTATCTCTAATCAATTTCATTGAATCATTCATTAACTGGACAGATAAACAAAAGTAAATAATAGTAATAATAATTTCTTTATATTTTTTGAGTAGACATCTTTGAAAGGATAAATTATGTAAAAGTATTAGAGTTATGGTTTTATATATAGCACTTGTCATAACTGTTATGTTAAACTTGTTTTCCGAAAACTGAAACTAAATAAGGGTTAATAAGCTGAATAATTAGTTTTATTCTTGTCATCAAATTAAACACAGTCGTTTAATTTTCATAATTTTTTTCTGTGACACCAGTTAAAGTTAGTTTTACATAAAGTTTCTACATAATTTGAATGAGTTAAATGTAACAATTCACTAAGTAACAAACGTCTTCTTTCAATGTAGTGAATTAGAATTAATCACCTAATTGAGGTATACAAAGGAGGTTAATTAAAATACAGTCAGATGGAAATAAATTATCACTTATGGTAGGACCACAGTAGGATAAATAGACGAGTATGTCGCTTTTGAATATAGATGCTTGTAATAATGAAATACCGGAACCTCTACTTGTTTTGAATTCTAATACTTTCTTTTTTAGAGCTTATTCTTTCGGGCTTGTATAGAGTTTTGGGGGCTAATTTCGGTGAAGATATATGGTCATAATTGAAGGGATTCCAATAAAATGCATCCTTCTTTTCACCGAGTGGCGGTGTAATGCTGGGGAGTATTCCTAGAAAGAGCACGTTCTGTGAGATCTAAATAACCTGCTTTAGAAGAGCAGGTAGACTGTTCAATAGCTAACTGGGATTGTATCCTTGTACATATATGATTTATTTTTATTTATTTACTTTTATTATTAATCGATGAAGGGCTGGGTTACTTTCGTTGTTATAGAACGGTTGCTTGTTTTTAAGATATTTCAAGCTTTAGTTCCATATGTTTTTATGCTTACAATAAATTTATACTGGTAACGTAGAAATCTCTGCCCTGTGTACAGTTATAACCTGAAACGTTTGAAATAACAGTTGACAAAGTTAATTAACGAAAATGCATAGCTAAAATTACTCATTTGTTTGGACATTAGCTATTATCCCAATTAAATTCACACTGTTACTTGACATATGACGGCTACATTACTGAATAATTCAGTTGGATGAATGAGAATGATTTCAAACTTTTCACAATCCTTAACAGTTAGAAAATATTCGCAAGCAGCTTTAAACGCCGAATCAGTCTTTCACAACAAACAAGCTGTCAAATTAATGTATCCAGTTTTATCATCATATGACGTTCAAATACAATGTTAAGCAAAAGTGATGTTAAAACAAATTGTGTATTTGTATGTACATGCTATTGAATGTGCATCACAAACAATTTATTATCGTAAATGATACTTTCCATACATCTATTGACAATGATAAAAAACCTTAAAGGCGTTTTTATCAAATATTTAAGTAAATGTACTACAGCACGAAGATACCTTGTGATGATTAGAAATAACTAAATGTCACTTATTCGAGTTAAACTTAGTAAATGTCACAAATAATATGCAATAATGATCTGTGGAAGATCTATTTTTCAGTAAAAAATTGAAGGGATTGAGATTATAACCAATAATAATAGTAAATAATAACTGCATAAGTAAAGACGCTATATATATATCGTTTGGATGATGAATTCATGACGATTATAGCTTCTTGAGGGTAAGTCACGAGAACAACACTATCATATTTTTTTCATATTTGTAGTTTTACATTATCGACTAATTTCAGTTGTAAAATTATTACATACCACGAAGCACTGAACAGTTGTTTATCTTGAATTGGCCCCGCTCAAACGTCGATGGCAAGGTCGTGAATGTACAACACAGGCGTGGTCTACTGCTAGAATGAAATGACCATCTAGTTCATCCTGGTTTGTCACGCCTTTTAAATACAACTAGTCCCTGATGTAAACCTGCCAGTTCAACAATTTACTTAGCTCCTTGCAATACACATATTTTTTAAGTGTCAAAACATTGATATCAAATTTCAACATACTTTTTGGAGGATGTTAAATATCATTTTATCAGTAAAGTTAATGATAGATTTGAAAGATATTTGCTTTTGAAAGTCATTGCAAATGCTTCAGAAACTTTCCATCATAATTATTATTGTAACTATTCTGTACAGTTCATGCTTGTTAGTTGTTTTCTTATTTCATACTAATCGGAAAAGTATATGAAAGCAATGTATGTCTTCTTTGCAACATTCATAAGTTTATTCAATAATTTCACAATATTTATTCATAACTATTTAATGAAGATTGTTAAAAACGCAAAACAAACTTGATTAAAACTAATGAATGTTGATTAAAACAAGGAAATTTCAGTACCCGCTGAAATCGATTTATACAATTAAAAAACCTTTTGGTCTTTCATAGGAAGCTTTTTGAACTAAAATATGTTTAGTCATTTTCATTAAAATGTCTTTATTATTCAACTTCTAAGGATATTTTACAATTTCTATAGAACCCAGATACCCGATAGACTAATACACTGGTATTGAAGTTATGTATACATAAATAATAAGCAATTATAAAAGTTTAATCTTTTACTCAAGCTACTATAAGTAGTACAAGAATTATTTTAAAATTAAGAGAAAAACATGTGATAATCAATAAAGTGTTTTTTATACAGAAGATTCCATTTTTTGAGATTATTTTGTATCATTGAATAAGGTTTACGCAAATGAATTAATTGTTTAATGCAGTATGCAGGATCGTGGATATGTACTGCTGAGGTGTCCCATATTAGGACGAAACGTCCGTCCAGAGCTTCCTGGTTTTCAGTGGTGGTCTAGCTCAAATTAACTCATGAATTCAACTATTAAAAATAGAAATTAGTTACCAAGTTAAGTGAAGATTATCTTGTTTTAATCTAGAGGTATATGAACGTGGATTTATCAAATAGAATGAAATGGAATTATTCTCTAAAATTTTGTATGAACAATTTCTCTATTTTACTCATAGCCAACAGTGTGTGTAATCAGTTAATATATCTATCAAATACCTTTGATGGATAACTCAATGAACTTTCTTGATTTTGTGACTGTCTGATTTTTCGTTTATAACTAAAAGAATCTTTTTACCGGAGCTTGAATACATTCACTCAATAGTCGACTTAAATGATGATGCAAATATCTATGTTTTACAGCACTTATCAGAACAGTATAACATTGCAAAGCATACTGTTACCTTATTATTGCATCTTTTGATCAGAATTATTCAGATTCCTACCTAAAGTTAGTTGGTTATCGTAAGTTTAGTCCTCTTAATCAATCCCCAGTTGCGACACGAGGACGAAAACGTCTTCTCAACGTCCAGCTGCATAGAATCACTTTAATTTAAACAATCATTTGACATTTTAAATTTATCACAGAATTTATCGAAAAGCTTAGTCAATGGAACCAGTTTTATCACTGTAGCGTAACACACGAAATCTTGAAGTAAATGGTTAGTATCATAAAAAATATGACTGGTAGGTTTTTTGATTTGAGGGAAATGCCTGTAAAAATTAGTAGAAAATGATTTTTAACCTATAGGTAAGTTAGTTTGTCATGTAGAATAATTTATTAATAAGGATTTTCATCTAGGGAGAAGTTTATTCACTTCAAATTTTGCCCAATTTGTTGATATTCGTCTTTCTCATCTCTGAAAATTTGAAAATAAATAGGTAAAGATTCGGTGGTTCTCATCTCATTACAAAGCTCATTGTCCCAATCACAAGTAGGGTCATCGGTATTTATCTTTAAAGAGTTCAAAATGTAGGGTAAATATCTCTTTAATATATCTTGGTATACAATGATTTTTCAAACGATCTGAGTTCGGTAGGAGTTGTTTCTAAATTCTTCAAAGAATTTTAGAAAAAATCTTCAACCAAGAAGGATTAAAACGGAATTATATAATGTTTTGTAAATAGTACATATGATCTGGTAGTCAGGAACATTGATTAGCAATAATCATTTGGTATTTTCTAGAAATTCTCGAATATACAGATTATACAATAAATGAAATATAAAATAAATGGTTCTTTGTTCACGTATTTTGTCAAAGCATATAATTGATGTATTCTAATTTCAACAGCATTTTATACACATTATAACAATTTAGACATATTTTCCTTTAGTGGGGTATTTATTGAAAGTATTGCATTGCTTTAAAGATCACTTTTGTGATGAATTAACACCAGCCTAAAGCATAACTATCATACTTAGAAGAGCTGAGTAGCAGTTTCTTTTCAGTTAGTGGCCTTTTTAACCAATTACATCTATGACAAAAAACTAGTTATGCGAAATATCATGAATGTGTATATACATCATAAAATGTTTGTTTACTTATCTTACATGAGAAAACATAGACGTAACTACAAGAAAACCATTCGCAATGGAGTAAACTATCTATCCTTCAGCTATTAAAGATCATTTAATGCTGAACATTTTCTCAATCTTCTAAAAATAAATATGTCCTCTCTCATAGTAAATATATGTCTTTCAGTCTTTATATTTTCCTAATTTTCAGCCAAACATTTATGCACTACATTCAATAAAATATTTATTACTTATATATCAACATACACGTATAGATAATTTATTGTGGTGTAAGTATATTTATCAACAATAATTTTCAATACAAATGTCAAGACAGTTTTAATGTATGTGGCGGTAACTTGGCGAACTACGAAAGCTATCAACCAGAAGATACAAGTGTTTATCGACAGCTGTCAAAATACTTCGGACCCGTCGGCCAGACACTATCAACAACAACCTACTGTGGGAGAGAACAAGCCAGATCCCAGTGGAGTAAGAAATCATGAAGAAGCGCTGGAAGTGGATAGCATACACATTGAGGAAAGCACCCAACTGCGTCACAAGGCAAGCACCTCTTGAAATCCTGAAGGCCAAAGGAGAAGAGGAAGATCAAAGAACACACTACGCCGAGAAATGGAGATAGACATGAAAAGAATGAACAACAATTGAATGGAACTTGAAAGGAAGGTCCAGGACAGAGTGGATTGGAGAATGGTGATCAGCGACCTATGCTCCATTAGAAGTAACAGACGTAAGTAAGTATTTATATCTGAGCATCACTAGGTCATTATCTTTATGATGACTGAATCCCAGTGATAATAATATTAATAAGTAGTTTAGTTATTTATTAAATAACTATTAAAAAGTCATAAATGTTGGCAATTTTTTATGAGTTATCAATTTTTTTCCTACCTCATTTTTATTTTCCTCAAGGTCATCCAATTCTCCTCCTACGGAAATTTACTCTCTTTCAATTTGACCAAATATAAACTAGCCCATTTTTTAATATTTCCCTATTGGTTCATTGATATTAAAACTTAGTAGAATGAGAAGAGAATATAATAAAAGAGATTGAAACATATCACGTGTGAACTAAATAGATAATCTATCTTTCTAACCAGTTTCTATCTATGAGTTAAAATAATCGATCAGAAAGTTGACTTATTATTATAAATAAGTTTAATTGAAATTCATTACAATAATGAAAATATGTAGTGTTATGTAGTAATATCTTTTCAAATGAACTTAAAAAAGGTAAGTTATATCCTTTTTTTTTCAAAGTATTACATTACTAAGATTGAATATAATTTTTATCACTAACTGATCTCAGCTACAAAACCGTTGAATACTAAAGAGAACTAGTCAATTGATTCATCTTAATTTAGAACGTTTCAGTTCAATGTATCCACATTTTTATATTAGATTAAACCAAGACTTTATTAGTTTCATTTTTATTTCCTTTTCTGGCATCAGTTTGTGATGAATACTCTATTGAAAATCTAATAACATCTTCAGAAGAATACTTTACTTAATATTCTCAATTATTTCTTCTCTTTTAATTATAGCTTATCATATTCTTCTTGTTACTTTTTCTAACGAATTTGTGCGGTCTAATACTGGCTAGCAATTATGATCAGTACATAGATAGATTGATAAATGATGGAAAATTATTATATGATGATTATATAAAACAAAATCCTAGTTTAGAATCAACATTAGAACGTTTATATTCAATGGAACATCCAATTTTTCAAGAAGATTATCCAGAAAATTATGAAATTACTGATAAACAATGGAATGCGTTATTAAACGAAATCAATCAAGCTAAATTAGGCAAACTAGAAGAAAATGATATTGATAAACCAAAATTTATTGATTCAAATTTTAATGAAAAATCAAATGATAATTATGAATTAAATTCAAATAGAAATAATATTAATAAAGTTTTAAATGAACCAAGTTTAACAGAACGTCGAAATGAAATTGCTTATCAAAATTCCCTATGGGGTGAACATAAAGTTTCTGGAGGTTCCAGTGAAACAGGTCAGTGGATAGATTATGCCTTATTGGGAGCTGAAGCACAAGATACAACAGCTAATAATTTAAATCTATCTAGTGAGCTGGAATCATCTCAAATAGAATCTAAATTTGATAATTTACCTGCTTATTGTGATCCACCAAATCCATGTCCATTAAATTATAAATCAAATGATTTACCAACACCGTGTGATCAAGATATTGAAGATACTATTGAATTTAATCGACATTGGATAATAAGAAAAATGCAAAATGGTGAATGTTCATGTGATAATGAACATATGGATAACTGTCCAGTTGAATCAAATGAAAATGGACATAAAACTAATTTTATGTCTGGACAAAAGACTGATGGAAAAGTAAGTCGTTAGATTTCATAAATTGTCTTAAAACAAATGTTTAAATTCCAAAAAACCATATTAGCTTTTTAAAACATTGCATTGGAGAATTGGCTCATATAAACTACTGATAATGATTTCGGTTCTTATTAGATTCATGAATTCTTACTGCTCAGGAGTCCCATACTAAGGTAAAACATTCTCCTGATACTCACTGGTCATCAGTGGTATTATACTGAGATTCAACCATGACGAAGACTATTTGTCGGTTAAAATAATCACCAAAATCACTTTATCCAAACTATTCAGTTATGTTTAATTCAAAGATTAAAGGGATAAAAACGTTAATTTGTTAGCATAGTTTTTTTACATATAAAACTGAATTGATATTTAAGTTATGTGCAAGTCATATATAATTCAGATATTATTGTTCATTAAAAAAATCCATACTTATACACTGATAGATTTTGCGATCATGAAATTAAAGTACTTCATCGTCTTGATACTTCCGTTAAAGTCAGAAGCTAGAGTTCGCAATCACTTTTGACATCAAAATTTTATCAACTCATATGCTGACTTACGGTTGAATTCAAACTCATAAACACATATTCATTGCTTCTTAATAATGGATTACTGAGTAGTGATCTATGTCTTTTTTATCTAGTCCTTTTAGTGTTGATAGATTTCCATCCATCAAATTCCAATGTGACTAGTAACTTAAAGTGACTTGATGCCGCACGTACTATGCTGAGATGTTGGGTGGTTAGAAGTAGTTGACTGGAAACCCTGGACCTAAGTTACATGTAAATATTTCAGTCCTTCTGAAGGTCAGTAGTTGCCCAAATATCAAGGTGGTTGAGTCGCAGACTGTGAAGTTAGGTGACATAAAGTCAAACAAGCTAGTTCCCGCAAGATTTCAGTTACATTTTAATGACGAGTGGCAACCACAAAGAAATTTAGATCCAGGGCTTTCTGTCGAATACATTCAACCACTTAACATTTCAACATATATTGATTATACCCTATTTAATTTTTATAATCTAATGTCTTCTTTACAAAATTATAGATTTTCTTGGTAAATCCATATCTACGAGGAGAAAGTCGTAAAAGGCTGGTAGCTAAAAAACGAGTTAAACGTTCACACGTATGTTATAATTTATTTTTCAAATTTAGACTTTAGCTCAAATTATTGTCAAGCTGACATACAATTTTATGAAAGAAATTCATAATATGTCATTCATGCACTAAGTCAGTGACTTAGAATTAAACTCATTAAGTAATGTCACATAATTGTGATAAACATGTTTTATTTGTACAAAAACCAAAAAAATATTTTTGATAATAAAATTCAAAATGTAATATGTATCAGACTATTTAATTTACTCAGTAAAACAACTGACTGTCGGAAAATTATGTTTGTGTTATTTTGATCAGTCTATAGTTATATATAATATACCCTTGTGAGTCAGGGTAATTTTACATTGGTTTTCAGGAGAACCAGACACCGCCCAGGCTTAAACCCTATACCCCGAGCAATACAGCTCAATCCCGCTTCACAGGAGAACCAGATACCATGTAGGCTTTAACGCTACAATCTGAATAGTAAAGCTCAATCCTGTGGCGCAAACACACAGGTATTAAGCACTCTGGTGGATCATTCGCACCATTCATATACACATTCACGTCACATGTGTGGTTATTCCGATCAATGATCGCGCGAAACAATTATACAAAGCACGAACAGACCAAAGCTGATCTATTCCGCTTGCACAACAGTCAAACTCAATAATGTTAGCAATGGCGACATGCCTTACAATATCCCAATGACAATGGCCCTTGAGAACACTGGAAAGCAACCACCAGTATGAATGAAACCAGTTAACAAGAAACCAGTTTTGTTCATGGACAGTTAGCAAAACTTGCCAAAGTAATGTCGAACCATCCACAATATCAACGGCAAACCTCCAGTCTCTACATAGGAATATAGCTTATACTATTCTAGTAATAGTATCCCGACACCAGACAATGGGTTTTAAGGGTTATTTAAGCCCTAACGCTTCAGGCTGGGCTATTCCGTTTACTACCCTACAAATGTGTTCTTTATGCAGTATAAGCTATATTGATCAGTCTATAGTTCGCCAAATTATTTTATGCTCCTGTATTACTGAGTGTCTCTTATAATGATTTATAATGTATGTGGAACTGAATAAAACCAAAATTAAATAATCCTAAAGAAATTTGATTTGTACATTTCACATGGCTGGCTACTATCATGTTTGTACTGACAATATATAATAGAACAATTTAATCTTAAGTAATTTTAAGTACACTTTGAGAATATCTGTCAATATGTGTAATTTATGTTACTGAAATATTTATTAACTCTATGGTCAGTCATAGCATATCTGATAGTTATAATAGATAGTCATAAAATAAACAATTAGATTTCCAAATTAAACTCTTTGTCTTACTCCATACGAAAATAATGATACTACTAATTAACATAATGTCTTAGTTCAAACTGAAATAGTCAAGTAGTTTGTGATATGAGATAATGTAAGCAAAATTCACATATCTCTGTATCTAGCACAAATTGAAATACATGGGAGGATTGTAAAATGTGTCTTCTTTTTATGTTCCGGCGATTTATATTACTCTGACAAAATGTAACATAAATAAACCAACTAAGTTATTTTCTAACAACTGAAAACATTTTGCAGAATATTAATTAATTCACCATCTGGTTGATTTTCCTGAGATGGGCATCAATATTCACAGATAATTAGATGAGGAACTTTTTTTTTATAGAAAAAATACCCTGACAATAAATATAATTAAACATTTGTGTGATTTCATTCTCCCTCCAAAAAATTGAACTCATATTGCAATGAACGACAACATCAGTGGGTACAATCAAATGTAGTTAAATACAAATTTACAGAATCTTTTAGTAAAATCTGAGAACCATACAGAAAATACTTCATTAGAAAAATGTCAATCAATTGTCTCAAACTTGACTGCTTCTTCGTCCTCACATCAATCATTCTCTGTTCTTGTTCACTTCTTTTCAATCTTCTTAATTTTCTACCACTAGACATTTCACTTTCGATTGATGATAAATACTACTTATATCTGCCGACATCAGTAGCACACACCACAATATTACTGGGCTACTTAACGCTCTAGAAAGATGATTAAAGTTTACTGATCAGTCATTAGATTATTTACAAACATCTTACTGAATAGCTTGTTACAAATGATCGAATTGTATTCATCTAGATTTAACACGAATATTATTATAGAACATCACAAAGTATAAAATGTGATCAAGAAACATGTTTTTATCAGTACGGGTTTGTGAAAATTGTTGAGTTTTTCATTGAAATCATGAATTGATTGATTTTAGACCACCTTTGAGAACCTGGGAAGCACTGGACTTCAGTTTCGTTTTAATATGGGTCTCCTCAACAGTGCGCATCTACGATCTCGCTCACGGGATTCGAATCCAGGATATTCGGTCTTGCACGAGAACGTATAACCTCTAGACCACTAAGCCAGCATCTAACGGTTTTAATGTCTAACCGCAACTAATCCATGAAATTGAACGACTATTCAGTGCTTCCAAGTTTTTGATGGTATTCTAACATCAATCAATTCATGATCTCAATGAAAAACATGTTTTTAATCATTTGAAATAATATAAATTTTAGTATCGGGTTTCTTCGTTGTGTAGTTGTAATGTACATATGATAGATATTATAACTTCAGTTATCATTTTCAACTTGTATCAAAAGTTTCTTTCACATGGTTTATTATTTTTTTGTATTTTATTATTATCTTTTCAGAATTATCGTTATAATCCTTATTTATTGGGTAGTGTTCACAAGACTGCAGTGAAAAAAATTGGACCATATAAACCATCACAAGAAAAGTATATGTAATAAGCTTAATACAATGAATTGAGTAATAATTGTAATAAATTATACTTTAAGTTCAGTAATAATAAACGATACAATTCGACATTGATAATAAATTGAATGTTTTTTTTTAAAAAAAGATGGTACTTTTCTTTCTTTTTTTTTATTCTTTCAAAATATTGTACTCTGAGTTATAGATCATTAGGTATATGGTTTTCTTGACCTTTGGATTAACGAAATTGTACAATAATTCTTATATTGAATGAATCAATTTTTTTGTAGACCTTTATTATATAGGATTATCATGATGTAGTTGAAGTTTTATGTGTTATAATTTAGTTTATTTTCGATTACATAAAGTGAATGAATGAACTTTATATATGGAAGTATGAATCTAAATGATTCAATATATAGATGCATAATTAATTGACATCTTTGATACGGTATAAAACCTGTGATAATACATAAAGAGAGATTGTAGATTTCAATTACATCAATTATGTTAAATTTAGTGAACTATGAACAAAATATTATGTCAACATTCATTGTTATGAATGTTTATAGTTCAGGTATTTTCTGCAAGATATAAAAAAGGATCTAATGAAGAACCATAGATATGGTCTATCACAGTACCCTCTTGAATAATTAGGTGTTCATAAAGATGTTATCAAATTGATCACAAGTTTTTATAGTACACTGTATATTTCTCTAATGTTTCACAAGGATTTTTACTGAATTCCCACATCAATCATGTTGATCTCAAAAGTTCACTTGTAAGTAATGGAATTCCAACGGCCATGTGATTAAACTTACTTTAGACTGTAAAACTTTGGAATAATTCAAATAAGTGAATACTATACATGATCCAGTTTGAAGGTTTTATCAAGAATTAATTTAAAATGTTGATAAACAGAACATGTACATTATGCACACATGAGTTTAATCACGAATGTATATGAGCTAGATAGTAGTTAATAACTTGACAGAACTAAAGAGGATTATAGACTTATTCTAAGAAACGTATATTGCTTAGTGAGTACAGGATGAACGCATAACGTCAATCTCATTATATTTTTGAAGCATCATATAAAAAAACCTGTATTTAAGTGTAGTTGCATATGGTAAAATTCAAACGTCAGCGCTTTGTCCACCAGGCTCTTGATTTCACTGATAGATAACTTATAAAAAATAAAATATTTGTCACAAATAAGTCTAAGGTTCATTGCTTTACATTGTCTAAGCATAGAGAGGTAATTATGATATTAGTCAGTAATATAGATAGTAACGTAACACCAAATAATATAAGCTATTCTGTTAACAACCTCTTTCTACTAAAATCTAACAACATTGGCTTTTTAATTTATCTGTTATAATTAAATAATCTAACCACAAATTGTAGTTGATATCGGTGTAAACATGTTTAGTACAATGAACTGACTGAACAAATCTTTCACTGAAATATACATCCAAACTATTCTGACTTCTCTCATGGGAAAATATTGATAAGGAAACGAATTAAAAAAAGCCAAATGTCACATAAATAACAACAATAACAGGAACAATTCATGTAAAACATTACAATTCTAATTTAAACATAAGCGAAATAACATACATCACAATATTCATCGGTAATAATCATAAAACAGTGAAATGATGTAAATCCATGTCAAACAACTGAATAGATTCTAAAATCCAAATGGCTGTGTAGCATTGTGGGCAATATGTAAAGTTGATAGTTAGATTTTAGATTTAAAACATGAATGGACGAATGTTGGACTACCATTGGAGACCTGGAAGAACTGGATGGTCGTTTCGTCCTATCTCCACAACCCTACACTAATAGTTAGATTTTAATTTAATAAATTGTAAACTGACTTTCAAAGTACCTAAGTGATAGTCATTTACATACTACTTGTTATTTGAAAATATTCATTCTTGAGTTAAATATTTTGCATGAAGTTGTTTCGTTTTGCTAAAATCAAAACAATACATCTTGAAAAGCAGCTGTTCTGTATTTCGACGTCTGTTTGTTGAAGGTTTGGTTTCAGTGATTCGGGTTTTGTCATCAATTATCAGTTAATAATGCTAATTACATGAATTCAGATGATCAATCTTACACACACCCACACACACACACATGGTAATACAAATTCTCATCTCTTACAAGAACTAGATTCTATCTGCTTTGGATCGTTCTGTCATAAACTATCCAGTTCTCCGAAGTATTTAGTGATTGTCTGATTGCTCTGTGTTCATGATATTCAATTAAATCTTTGCTCATCATTGTGTTCGCATCAAAATTTACTTCATACTTCAGTATTTTTATATCAAGAGATAGTTTAAATTAGTTATTGAACGATTTGTAACTTGACGGGTGAGTTTCAGGTTTGTGTGATAAGGAACTAAGATAGTATTAGTCGATCTTCAGAGAATCTACGTACGAAAGTTGATAATATTCAGGCAAGACAATAAATACTACTCACGATGTAAGTGGATGGTGAAATTCACATAAAGCAAAATCCCTAGTTATACGAACAAATTAATAATGATTCGAAGTCTTTCACATTTCAGCAATGATGGCAAATAATAAGCTTTAATGTGACTTCACATCAAGAGAAATATTTCATGAACAACGAGAAAACAAATTATTCTTAGTCAAATCAGCTCAGGAATCATCCGTCAACCATTTCGAAACAATTGCTTGTTCATGAAAAACCTAATCATAACGTATTGCACACATTTCACCACAGCCTGACAACACTGGTCACAAGGAAGTCTCACTATTCCAACATCAAATCCCAAATAAATATCACCATTCAAAATGCACATTGTTATCATATTAATATTTTATTTTCATTTATCAACATTTAATGCAATTAATAATAATTAACGAATCTGAATACAGTTTGAAATGACTAAATATCATCTTATTTGCATTTGGAAGGACACGAACATCCACACGTACACCCTGAACATTGGCATTGACCAGATGGACAATCACATCCTTTGCCCGATGCACATCCAGAACAGCATTTACAGTTTCCACTACCACCACCACAACCTTCAATTTAACAGAGAGAATAAATATTTAATGTTAATGACAACTGTGATGAATGATTTCTGGAGAATGCGAATAGATGACGATGATGCCATACAACAACAATCTTACCTGGCATGATTGTTCTTATTAAGAGACTTTAGTGTATAATTTGTCCGAAGTACCGTTCGCATATATACATTTTCATTTTCTATGCTTCATATGTGATAAACACATAGGAAAATGAACCAATAGGAATCGTGATATTTTTCACATTGCATCACTGATTGGTTGAAATTCTCAGAACACTAGTGTTCTGACAGAAATTGTAGACTGGAAAATAATGAAAAAATTGTTGTTGTTGTTTGTAGTGGATGAGAAACTCATTATTTTATCATAACTGCTTGATCATCATTGTAAAACAAGGTTTGTTAGATTGTCATCACTCATCATTACAACTTTGGATTTCATTTTCATTGAAATTTCTTACATGAATCATTGTGTTGTTTGCTCTAGTAATATCCCTTATGTTTATCTACATCGATTTGTATTTGTTTCAGTTCACACAACATATGATGGTTGTCTGAGCACAGTTTTATTTTGAATGTGTGATTCGACTACATCATCTAGATTCAATAGTAGGCAAATTTTCTCGATAACATTCAATGTTATGATTGAAATTCTAGAACACATTATTGACGATACTTTCCGAAGTTAGTATCAATAGAACTTGATAACTACTCGTCTTCACTGTCTTTGTGAAACACTTTTACTGCTTAATACACATTTGCTAGTCGTCCGCGTGTTTCAGAAAATCCTTGAAGTTGTTATCAACCATATGGATAACTTTTTCTCCAGTTTAACTGTTCAAACAGCTTTCCATAATATTTAGTACATGTCAACCTGGAAAAGTTTGCTACAATAGTTGCATTGAAAACTCTATTCAGAAAAGATCAGGATGCTAGTGGGGTTAGTTGCGCACAATACTAGAGGCTTCCCATCTGTATAATTTACTTTAAAACTCGCATTTAAACAAATATCTGAAAAACAGTCAGTGAGCATGAAGCTTGTATCGACCTTCCGAAAAAGAATAAATCTCGTTTCCGTTTCAGTTAATACAACTCCATGGATTTCATTTTACATGGTAGCATTTCCGAAACCTCTGGTTCAAGAAGAGTATCAGTCGACCCGATACCTATGTTTCGATGATAATGCATAGCAGATGGTTTTTCATTTAGGAAGAGTTTGGGAATACACTGATGGAATACCAACGTGAGTAATATGCTGTTACGTATTATCCTTACGTTGAAAGTCAAGGTATGCATGATGTACAATGGAAATATATGTTTGTTATGTCTAAACGCACATTTAATGTAAAATGTAAAACACAAGAGATGAAGATCAATAAAAGTTCGTCAGAATTTTCATGCGAAAGTAATATTTCAGCTTCACGTTCCTTAGTTGTGGGTCACTTCGTTTGTTACACTGCAATTGCATGAATACATTGTGATGTATATCATGATGGCTCGTAATCATCCATGTAGTAATTCATCGGCAGGTTGTGATCCATGGATCAGAAGACTGTCATATGAGAATGAGGAAAATTTGAACTCCGTACTGTTGTGATTGATATCTTCGGAAGAAATACTCGGATATCTGAAAGAAACTTATTGCAAAAACGCAACTATCAACGACGCAAAAATTGTGAGGTTTGAAATTATTATTTGCATATATAAATTATTACACTTTCAGATCCCAACATACATTTGAATGTCTTCAGTATGATAAGACAACGTCGACAATTACGGGTATATTTCTCTGATGATGGTAATCTTACAAAAGACTGTTCTGCAAACAATCATCACTTTGAACTGTACCGAAATTATCGTGAATTTCTCAGTACATCAACCACATGCAATACTACAAATAAGGAATGAAGATGAGGAATGATAAATTTAAATATATAGGTACTCGTTGTTGTAGTTGAGAAGAGTTGTAAATTGTGGGATAAGACTAAAAATGGATTAACCCTAGATGTAAATTGGATGATCAATAAATTTACTGCAATCGTTTGTAACACTTGTAACTGACTGGCCACACCTAAACTAGTGTCTTTTCGTGTAACTCATCAAAACAATA